AGCCCTCCTCGCACCGCCGGCCGCTGGACGCGCCCCACCGATCTGAAGCTCCACCGTCGCCGGCTCCACGTCGCGGATCCGAAGCTTCACCGTCGCCGGCCCCACGTCGCGGATCTGGAGCTCCACCGTCGCCGGCCCCTCGTGCTCTTCTCCTGCTCCTTCGTCTCGCGCCCCTCCTCGCGTTGCCGGCCTCTCGTGCTCTTCTCCTCTTCAGGCAGGTGAGCCTCAGTGCCTCCCTTCTCCTCCTCTTTCTTCTTGGCTTGCTGGGTGTTGCTCTGCCTCGCTGCTGAAGGACTGCTCGTGCTGATCTGCTTGCTGTTGGTGCTGCTCTGCTTGCTGTTGGTGCTGCTCTGCTTGCTGTTGCTTGCTGCTGCTGCCCTGCTTGCTGCTGCTTGCTGCTGCTGCTAGACCGAGTGTGTTTCAATTTCCAGGTCCTGAGCTCTGAGCTACAATGTCTACAACACCAGAGATATGTCAAGTAGTGTGTTCAGCAGCAGCTGCAGCTCAAGCCGATGGGCATTACGATCCCTCGAAGGATCCTGCAAGGAAGCCACGTAGGAGCAAGGACCCAGCATGGAAATATTCCTTTTGGCCTGATCTGCAGGACAAATTGACACTCCAGTGTGTTCTGTGTGGCAAAAACATCACTTCTGGAGTGCTAAGGATGAAGAAGCACCTTGGTGGGGGTTACACAGAGGTGAAAATGTGTCTAAAAGCAACCGATGAGATCAGGAAAGAGATGCATTTGTACATGAAGACCAACTCAACCAAGTTCAAAGCCATGCAACTTGATGGGGATGAAGTTGAAGCAACTGATGGAGATGGAGGAGAGGAGGAGGTAGAAGCAAGTTCAAGGGCGTCGAACAGCACCGCAGCCTCCACGAAAAGGAAGGCTTCTTTTATTGTGACGGTGCCGGTGGCGGCAAAGAGGACAAGCAAGTCAATTGCAGATGAGGTTAGGAAGACACCAGAGGAGGTGGTTGCTGAGAGGCATAGAGCAGGAAGCAAGCAGTTAAAAATCAATGACTATGGAACAAAGACAAAAGAACAAAAAGATGAAGTAGATGGTCATGTAGCTGACTTTCTCTATGAGAATTGCCTTCCACTCAATATTATCAATTCGAGAAGTTGGGAGATCCTATTGGAGTCTGTAGGACAGTATGGATCAGATTATATCACACCTTCTTACCATGATGTGAGGGTACCATTACTTGAGAAGGCAAAGCTCAAGACTGACACTTTGAAGGCCAAGCATCAAAAGGCATGGAAGGAGTATGGTTGCACTCTCATGTCCGACGGTTGGACGGACATGAGTGGGCGACACTTGATCAATTTTCTCGCCAATAGTCCTGAAGGTACATTCTTCTTAGGGACAGCCAATGTTTCTTCTGAGTCTGTTACTGCTGAATTGGTAGCAAAATTATTGAGTGAACAGATTGAGGCAATTGGGCCTGAATTGGTAATCCAGGTCGTTAGCGACAATGGCTCCAACTACAAGGCAGCCGGGAGACTTCTAATGGATAAGTATCCATCTTTGTATTGGACACCTTGTGCTGCTCACTGTTTGGATCTTATGCTAGAGGACATCGGGAAGATAAGAGAGTTCAGTGATTGCATTGTTAAAGCAAAGAAAACAACCAGATTTATTTATGACCATGGTAGGATTCTTGATCAAATGAGAACCTTGAATGGCAAGAGAGATCTTGTAAGGCCTGGAGCAACTCGTTTTGCAACCTCCTTCCTCACATTGGCCAGCATGTGGAAACAACGCCAACATTTGAAAGCACTATTTGTTAGCACAGAATGGCATGCAAACAAGTTGAAGCTCACCCCACCAGGGAAGATGGCTGAAAATACCGTGCTCTCTGTGACGTTTTGGCAATCGGTGGAGAACTGCATGAGAGCTTCACAACCCATTCTTGTTGCTTTGAGGATTGTTGATGGTGATGACAGTCCAGCAATGCCCGAAATTTGGGCAGCCATGGATGTTGCGAAGACACACATAAAGGATGCATTGTCACAAAGGCCAGGCCTACGAAGTCAAGTGCTAGCAATTGTTGACAAGAGGTAGGATCACCAGATGGAGCAAAAGCTACATGGGGCTGCAATGTTTTTGAACCCCAGCAAGTTCTTTAAAATGAAGGAGACTAACAGAAGACTAGCTGCACGGCTGCGTTCAATGTTCAATGATGTGTTATGGAAGATGGTGCCGGATGATGAACTACAATCCAAGATAAGTAAATTGGCTGATGATTATGAGCTCACGGAGGGTGAATGTTTCACCAAGCAAATGGCAATTAAAGACCGCGAGAAAAAGAGTCCTCGTAAGTATCTATGAGAATGCAGCTTGTAGCTTATCTTCTTGACTCTATGTTTCAACTTCTACTTGCTTGTTTCAACTCCTACTTGCTGATTTTTGTAGTACTTTGGTGGAATGCATATGGTGGCCTTGCTTATGACCTCCAATCTTTTGCAAATCGGATCATTAGTCTATGTTGTTCATCGTCTGGCTGTGAGCGCAATTGGAGTGCATTTTCTCATGTAAGTATCTAGCAATTGGATGGTTTGATAGATAATTGCAGTCTATAGCAGCTTCTCACAAAAGGATTTGCTTGCAGATCCATACCAAAGGAAGAAACCGTTTGGAGTATAAGGGATTGAACAAGCTAGCATATGTCTCATACAACCGGCAAATGACAACTAGGTTTGAAAAGTTACGCGAGCAAGGTTCCAAAGGAAAGAGGGCTAATGCACTTATCCTAGAAGAATTTCAATGGGATAATGAATGGGTTGATGTTACTGCTGAATTGGTTCATCAAAATGACGCTATGGACGATGACAATCCACTACTTTGGTCCCATGTTGATGAGGCCGTTGGCGCGACCGATGGTCTAAGTGGACGCCATCTTCCAAGGAGGGCTCGTGGTGATTTCAGTGAGTCTGGTCCTCCCGCTGGCTCTAATATCTTTTACACTCGAAGGACAAGTGTGGTTGTCCATGATGAAGACTTGCGGGCTGAATTGGAAGCTGAAGATATTGATAGTGACATGGAGACCAATGGTGAAGACAATGATGGCCCTACACGAGCGAATGATATAGACCCTGATTTTCAGCTGGATATAGATCTAGATTGATTTGAGGGCTAAGGCTACAAGATTTCTTTTGCTGGACTGGACTTGTTGCTTGTGGTGTTGTTGAACCTTTCTTTTGTAATTCAGACTTTGATGTTGGACTACTTGTTGAACCTTATGTTGGTCTTGTCAAGTTGTCACACTAAGGTGTTCTCCTATGGATTATGGAGTTCTGAACTTGTTTTTTATGCTAGTGCTGCTGTGCTGGACTGTTGTTTGATAGTGCATATTTGATTGGTTTTATCTTTTGCAGACTGTTGTTGCTGGTTTTGGGAGAAGCAGAGGCCCTGGCCATTGGATATTGCAATTGGCACAGCCTCAGGTTCTTCATCCACTTCCCATGCATTCATTTGTATTGTATACTGTACTTGTATACTTATATAGTGTAATACTACATACTACTACTAGGTATTATTAGTTATGTACTGTAAGTTCAGTGCTACAGTACCATGTCGACTAGTCTCGCACTAGTCTAGACTAGTCTATGAGTCTCAACCTTGGAACGACTCGTCGACTCTTCGACTCGTAAACGTTGCTCTTTGCACTTAAGGGCACTCAAGCCATTAATTACATAAACCCAACCAAGGACTTAAACGGCTACCCTAGGGGGAGATTTCACACCAAAATGTATCGATTTTGACAAACAGTACAAATTTCTCGTAAAAAATATAACAGTACAAATTTTAGTGAACAAAAAAGAACAATCAACTGAATTAAAACACCATGATCATCCTAAGACCGCACTTCAGATAAAAAGGAAAATACAATGAGCTCAGGAAGTGGAACACCACAATAGAATTAGATCCTACTCGTTAGCCAAGCAAGGCCACAAACAATATGCAAAATCAGAATCACAACTTCGATCCAAGGATCAGAAGCCATGTTTCTTTTATCATAGAATAATACTAAAGTTACCTTGTTATTTTAGATGGCATAGCCAAGATTAACTTTTCCATGTAAAATATCAAGAATACAAGCGAATCGTGAATCTAATTCGCCCACGGGGGCATCCGAGGACCAGGAATCTGACTAAATCAGGAACCGCTCCCGCGTGGGTAGGTAAAGGGACGTACCAAAGAGATCCTGCTCCCCTCGCGGCCGAGCTTGAGCAGCTCGAGCGCCTTCTCCAGCGCGTCGGCGAGCGTCGCCAGCGCCCGCTCCTCCTCCTCCCCCGGGGGGCGGCGGCGCTCGCGGAGCTCCTCGGCGAAGGGTCCGAGGAGGCGAATCCGGCGGGACAGCGCCAGCAGCTGCCGCCGGTAAGCGTTCCGGAACTCCCCGGGCGCCGCCACGGTCTCCACCGCGGCGGCGACCCGCTCCGCAGCCGGCGCCGGGGACTCCCGCTCCGACTCCTCTTGGTCGCCGGCCATGAGACGGGAGAAGCAGCAGCCGGCAGCGTGAGGATCGGCTGGCGCTAGTGGCACGGGGCGGTAAATTACGGGGAAGAGCGGTCGCTTGGTGGCGCTGGCTGCTGCTTCATCTTATGGGTCGTCGGGGCGGTCAGCGCGTTGGGCTGGCCAGGTCGTCTTCCTCCTCCCTTTCTACACGGCAGATTTTTCCAACGTCATTTCGGGTATACTTGGTGCAGCTGCACCGGCGGCCAATACCAGCCAACCGGACCGGCGATGGTTATGGACTATTTATCGTGGAAAACAAACTTTGCGAAAATTGTACTGGATGTTTGTTGCGTATTCGTGTGGCGATTAGTTTCGTGGACTTCTTTTGATTGAAGAAACTGCCGTGTAGAAAGGCCTGCAAGCGACACCTACGTTCACCATGAGTTGTTTTCACCTCATAAAGAAGATGTGCCGGAATTTGACCTCGATCTCTTCTAAATTCTGGTGGGATGCAATGGAGGATGAACGGAAAGTGCATTGGATTGCTTGGGAGAAGATGTGCGATGCAAAAAAAGAGGGGGGTCTGGGTTTCCATGATCCGGAGGCTTTCAACCAAGCTCTGCTTGCCAAACAAGCGTGGAGGATCCTCCAAGTGCCTGGATCCTTGTGTGCCCGTGTTCTAAAGGCTCGTTATTTTCCTGATGATTCGATCATGTCGGCCACATGTCCATCGGCAGGATCTTTCACTTTTCGGAGTATTCTTCATGGCAGAGACCTTTTGAGGGAAGGACTGGTGTGGCGGATTGGCAACGGGACAATGATCAACATCCATCACGAAAATTGGATCCCTAGAGCTGGCAGCATGAAGTCGTTGGGTCAAACTTTTGCTTGGGGCATCATGAAGGTCAGCGATCTTCTACGTCCTGATGGCATGGACTGGAACGAGGCTCGGGTGGATGTGTTATTCACACCAGATGATGCGCAGGATATAGAGAGAATAGCGGTAGGCGGACCAAACTGCCAAGATCGGCTTGTTTGGAACTTCACTAAGAACGGGAAGTTTACAGTAAGGTCAGCCTACCATCTTAGAATGTCAATGAACAAGTTGAGGTCAGGACGGCCTGGACCTTCAACGTCTACGAGCAAACACAAGGGCTATCTGTCCCTTTGGGATACTTCGGCACCGGGGAAGGCCAAAGTGCACGCATGGAGGCTGCTCAGAAACGGACTGGCGGTGGGCTCGGAATTGCACAGACGATGAATTAAACCAGGGGTCTTCTGCGTGGCGTGCGGAAGGGAGGAAACATTACTGCATCGTTTTTGGACATGCCCACACTCATCACTTTTTTGGCAGCTGTTGCGCTCGGAAACGGGAGCTAGGGTGGCTAATCCACCAGAGATGACTAGATCCCCGAGTGAGCTATCGAACTGGCTACTTGGATGGTTTGCGGGAGCTGCAGACGAGGAGAAACAGCTGTTTGTTCAAGCTCTGTACGGTCTCTGGCTGGCTAGGAATGACGCCAGAGACGGCAAAAGGATTGTTGAGTCACATGCGATCATGACGGCTGTACTTATGCATGTACATGAATGGCAAGAGGTACACCCTACAGTCCCGAAAATCCCCAAAGTGGTTGAGCAGCAAAGATGGGAACCGCCTGAGGAAGGATGGGTGAAGATTAATGCGGATGGAGCCATGTCCAAAAATGGCGGAAAAGGAGGAGGAGTAGTGCTCAGGGATCAGAACGGAGCATATATAGCGGGAGCCTGTGTTTTTTTCCCTCAGGTCGCGGATGCGGAGGCAGCTGAGATCTTGGCGACCAAGAAGGCACTGCATATGGCTGTGGAATACAACGTCAGGAAGATGCACTTAGAGCTGGACTGTCAGATGGTTGTGAAGATGCTTAACGACCCTGACAGAAACCTGAGTGGAGTTGGACCGTGGATCTGGGAAGTGAAAGAGATAATCAGTTCTTTTGAGGAAGCGAAGGTTACGTGGGCGCGACGCTCGGCGAATAAGGCGGCACATAAGCTCGCGAGGGTAGGAGTAGGAGATGAAATAAGCAATTTTTGGCGTTTGATGCCTCCAGACTCTATTTTAGATGTAATAGCGGACGAAATTCCGAACCTTAATTAAATATAAGTTGTAGCCCACGTTAATGACACGTGGTTGCTGAGGCGGCTACTCCGACACCACTCATCCATCCCTCTGCTGCCCACCATTGCTATATAAGTTGTAGCCCCAGCCATAGCCGCAGTCATCCGCCTCCGATCCATTTCTCCTTTCCGCACAACTCCCTCCACTGCTTCTAAAAGATCATGGATGTCACCTATAGGGGGTGAATAGGCACTTTAAAATAATTACCGTTTAGGCTTGAACAAATGTGGAATAAAACTAGCGTTTAATTTGTCAAGCACAAAACCTAAAATAAATAGGTTCATCTATATGCACCAACAACTTATGCTCTAAGTGCACAGATGATGCGGGAATGAGAGAAATGGCGGCTGCTTTCTACGAAAAGTTATTCTCATCAGAAGGATCAGCTCAGAGTGAGCGTATTTTGGCGCTCTTTGCACCGATAGTTACTCATGACATGAATACTAAGTTATTGGAAGCTGTTTCTGATGACGAAATTGAGAGGGCGCTGTTCCAAATGGGACCAATGAAGTCACCGGGTCTGGATGGTTTCCGGCCATGTTTTACCAACGACACTGGTCGTTGGTAAAGGAAGATGTGTGCAAGGCTGTGAAAGAATTTCTGGCAAGCAAGGCAGCACGTAGTGGATTCAACGACACCATTATTGTTATGATCCCGAAGGTAAACTCACCGGAGTTACTTTCACAATTTCGACCCATAAGCCTATGTAACGTCCTATATAAAATAGCGGCGAAGGTGCTGGCGAATAGGCTCAAAGTGGTGTTGCCTATGATGATATCTGAGGAGCAGAGTGCCTTTGTCCCGGGGAGACTAATCACGGACAACGTTCTGGTTGCCTATGAATGTGTCCATGCTATTCGGAAGAGGAAATGTAGGAAACCCCTTTGCACGGTGAAACTGGATATGATGAAGGCCTATGATCGAGTGGAATGGATGTTTTTACGACAGATGATGGAGAGACTAGGTTTTGCTGGCCAATGGATAGACATGATCATGCGATGTGTAACTTCTTCCAAGTACAAAGTTAAGTTGAATGGGGGTCTCTCGCGAAGCTTTGTGTCATCTAGAGGGCTTCGGCAAGGAGATCCACTATCACCCTATATGTTTCTTTTTTGTGTAGAGGGGTTCTCAGCTCTACTACAACATGCTCAAGAGAGGAAGGAGATTAAGGGGGTGTCGTTTGGGAGCACTGACCCCACGATAACTCACCTACTATTCACAGATGATAGTGTGGTATTCCTCGAGGGCTCCAAAGAAAACCTGGAGGTGCTTCAAACTATTTTGCAGGACTACGAGAGGGCTTCTGGCCAAAAGGTTAATTTGCAAAAGTCGGCCATCTTCTTCGGTAAAGGAACAAGGGAGGAGGATAAAACGTTGTTGAAGCAAATGATAGGCATCACTTCGAAGGCCTTGAGTGAGAGATATTTGGGCCTACCCACCATGGTGGGGAGGTCTAAAGATGGGACCTTCAAGTATGTTCGTGAGAGTGCGGGAAAAAAGGTTGCGAGATACAAAGGGCAAGGTCTGTCAAAAACTGCTAGAGAAGTACTCGTCAAGTCGGGGCTTTAGTCAACACCAACTTTCACCATGAGCTGTTTTCAACTCACAAAGAAAATGTGCGGGAAATTGTCATCTATTTCATCGAACTTCTGGTGGGGTGCAGTGAATGGTGAGAAGAAGGTGCATTGGATAGCATGGGACAAAATGTGCACGAGGAAGCATGAAGGAGGGCTGGGGTTCAGAGACCCCAAGGTTTTTAACCAAGCATTGCTCGCAAAGCAGGCTTGGCGGATTCTACAGAGTCATAATTCTCTTTGTGCACATGTTCTTAAAGCCCGGTATTTCCCTGATAGTTCAATTCTAAGTGCAACCTGCCCTCAAGGGGGGTCTTTCACTTTCAGGAGCATAATCCATGGAATAAATCTGCTGCTTGACGGACTCATATGGAGAATAGGAGATGGGAGCAAGATCAGGATCCACCATGATAATTGGATACCGAGGAAATGTAGTCTGAAGCCACTGGGCCAGACCTACATCCACGGTAGGAACAAGGTTTCTGATTTGCTGAATGCACATGGTACAGCCTGGGACCGAGCCAAGGTTCAGGAGATGTTTTCCCCTGATGAGGCACAAGAAATCTTGCAAATTCAGATTGGGGGCCCGGGAGTTGTGGATTATCAAGCTTGGAACTTTACAAAGAACGGTATATTTACAGTGAGATCGCCTTACCATTTGAGAATGATGCAAAAGCGTTTAAAGTCCGGACAGCCGGAGTCATCGTCGTTCGTAGCAAAGCATCGAGCATGGTTAGGGCTGTGGGACTCGATCGCTCCTGGAAAGGTTAAAACACACATGTGGAGACTTATCAGGAACGGACTAGCGGTCGGTTCTGAGCTCCACAGGAGAAGTATTAAGACAGGAGTGGTCTGTGTTGCGTGCGGAAGGGAAGAAACCAACTACCACCGATTTTGGGCCTGCCATCATTCAGCAAAGTTCTGGAAAATCCTTCACTCGGAAATGGGAGTTCTGGTGGCGATCCCACCGGTTACTGTAAGCTCCTAGGGTGATCTAACCAACTGGCTGTTAGGTTGGTTCGCTGATGCGTCGGACGATGAGAAAGCAGTTATGTTGCAAGGTGTTTATGGGCTCTGGCTGGCTAGGAACAATGCGAGAGATGGAAGGAAGATAGAGGAGGCTGGAGATATCGCAAGAACTGTCCACAGTGTGATGGAGCAATGGCAGAATACCAATGGGCGTACCAGCAGGATTGCTAACCCCACTCCAGTGCAAAAATGGGAACCACCAGAAGTGGGCTGGGTTAAGGCAAATGTCGACGGTGCCACGTCCAAAATAGCGACAAAGGGAGGAGCAGGTGTGG